GGTTGTGTTTTTTCTAAAACAGTATTTTAACCTTGGCGGGTAAAAATGACTGTTGTCGAGGTGAGTCAAACCGGTGGGGGTTTTTTTGAGTGCGTATTATTGGATGTTACTACATGGAAGTACCAAACTACTTGGTATAGCTAACATAAATGGTAAATATAATATGAAATATATAACATTGTAGTCGTTGTTTTATCTATGTATTAAATGATGTGATCATGCCATTTTACTAAGATGTTAATCAGCAGTACCTCAGGTTGAATCATCAGGGGGATTAATGTTCTACTAATGGTTTCAGTAGTTCCTCAGAAATATAATCCATATAATTTTACTTCACAAAAACAGTCCAGAAATACAGAGTGCAGCGCCATCATGTTATGGCTGGCAGACATGACCCTGTCATTTCTGTATGTGATTTTTGTTAGGTTTCTGAAACAGTGGTTATTTTTATTTCAGCCTCTTCCTAAAATAACTCTGGTCTTTTTAATGTTTTTGGTAACTAGGCAACAGTAGTCAAGTGAACAAGTATCTGCTGCCTTCCTGTCCAACGAATGATCCTCTGTCTCTGTCTCATTCACACTTAAAGAATGTTTTAAGAACGGAAGAACCCTGAGACTGAAAAAGACAAACACTTTTCATCAGAGTTAGACAATGAATATTTAACCTAATGGATATTTCCTAGAACATCAATCAATCAATCATCCATCCACCCATATTTCTTTACTTCAGCTATGTTTATCCAGTGTACTCTATATTTCATCCAAGGCTAACATTTACCGTGTTACCGTAATTTCCGGACTATTTAGCACACCTTAACTCAATATAAGCTGCACCCACTAAATTTAAAAAGAATACATTTATTGTACAAATTTAGGCTGCATTTCTCTATAAGCCTCAGGTGTCCACGTTGTAACACGGGATGTTACACGTTAGCTCTTTCCTGCTCCGGAGCCCCAACGGTAGTTGGAATGCACAGGGGAGACTTAGTGACCTGCTCCAGGTCTGAAGCTAACATTAGCTCCAGTGCTAACTCCATTCACTTCGTGCTTGTCCGTAGCAGAGGAAAACAGAAACAGGGAAGTTGGGGGTCTAGAACATAAACATCGTTTTAACCCTATAAAACACGACTTATCTGTATTCTTTAATAAGTATTGATTTAAATCCAGATCAGTTTAGTTATGTCTGTCTGAAGTCTATTCACATCAGTCAGGTGTGAGATCATTTTTGATAGACTATTTACTGCGTGTACTCCCGAGGTCACACAGCTCCCACCATTCTCCCTTTTCCCTTCTCAGCTCAGATGCCAGATATTTTGAGCTCACACTCCTGGTGTTTGTCTCCACCACGGTGGGAAAACGGTGGGTGGACCCTCAGTGTTCACTGGACACCTGCGTACAAAGCACTGCGATATGTAAGTAGAGCTTTTTGTGTCTCTGTCCCCATGGCTGCACATTCTTCTGTAGAAAAGATGCTGCAGCAGGTCTGTCCCTCCGGGCTCCACCACAGAATTCTCTACCCTCAACATTTATCTGTCTGAGCTAAGTGCGTA